AATGAAAATAGCAAATATCATCCAACCATTCTTTCAAACAACAAATAGGTCTTGAATTAATTGGACATTGCAAATACTATGTCCTAACTTCCCTAAGTTCATAAATTGTCCAGTCAATAATGACTTACAAAAGCGTACAATTGGGCAACATGGTTTCAGTTGTAACCTCGATCATAGACTAAAAACTCAGCTTGTATATACTTGATGGCAAGGTCTTGCAAATTATACTTGCCAACAGTGTACCTCACCCCTCACAAAAACATGTGAGTAAAGTCTTTGTGCTACCCAATAACAATCAAAAACACTAAATTACCAAATTCATGAAACAACTATCGGTTCTAAGGCCAACAATAGATATCAAAGCAATACCTCAGGGGCCATCCAGTACGGTGTTCCAACAACTGAATGTGTATTCACATCTGCCTCAGTTAGTTTTGTTGCAACCCCGAAATCTGCAAGTTTCACAAGTCCCTGAAAGTCTACGTTAGTTCAGGGTGCCATGTTTAGCAATCTTAAATTTTTTTTCCTACAAAAATACAGAAGCAAATTCAAGCAGACAGAAATATTGAGAATGTTAACAATCCAAACCAACTGATGCAAGATAAGATCAGAGTTAAATAAAAAAAAATTACAGTTATCCTCATATCAACTGCAGAAGTAAATCATGATAATATTTTTAACTAAAATGAAATTAAAAAAAAAAAAAAAGGAAACAAAAAGCAAATCATAGTAGAAAATAACCTTGGCACAAAATGAGGCAAGACCGCAGAAAAACACACAAAACAGAATTATGATAACATACTTCTTTTGTAGTCAAAATATTTGCCCCTTTGATATCTCGATGAATAACACCTTGTTCGTGTAGATACACCAGACCTTCAAGTACCTGACAACAAGTATATTGCTGAATATTTAAAAACAATGCAAGCGGACATAAAATAGGTACTGAACAATGCAATATTTTTACTGAGACCTGAGCTATGTATACGGCCACCAAGGACTCCGGAAAAGGGCCAAATTTATTTGGCTTGATAATATTAGCTAGTGACCCATTCTCCACGTACCTTTAAAACAAAGTGAGAAAACTTTAAAGAAGTTCTTGAGATCGCTGTACCAAGTAAATAAGTTAAAAAAATACAGAATATCGTGAAAGCTTGACTCACTCAAGAATTATATGAAGATGAGTCTTTGTCTTCAAAGATCCAAGATATTTCACAATATTTTTGTGATTTAAATTCTGCAAGAGAAAGAGAACCATCCAGTGAGAGAACAGTGGAAGCCAAAACAGAATAGAACTCCAAGCGTCAAATTTTTGTAGAAAAGACAAGGGAAGTAGTAAAAACGTATCGATGGCTCATAATGGTAGGTACGAAACATAAGATAAAAAGTGTGACAAAATTTAGTGCAACGAGCATAAATTCGATCTCCAGAACAATCATGAGACTTCTAGAGAAAGGACCAATTTGGAAAGAAGAAGAGCAATTAAACCACATAAATATATCAAAGTTTTGCAGCAGTATGAATTTGAAAAATTCAACCAAAAATATGCATCATCACAATCAATGATACAAGCAGCTCTTTCCATTAGCCAGGCACTCGATTAAAAAGTGTGCGCACGCGCGCACGGGGGAGTGTGTTTTTTAAGTTCTTGAACTAAAACTATTGAGAGCATAGCCATCCATGGTCAAATAGAGGGCTCTCAGGCTTGAACTGGGTAGGGATGCAGTTTTGTCTGCCCTAACCTTCAGGGAAATAGGAGTATATAAGATATGGTACTTTATTTCCTTTACTCGAAGAGTGATGCAGGGACAAGAAATTAAGCAATCAAGGGATGCAGAGTATTCAAATTCGACATAGTGGGAGACCCTAATAAAATATGTGTGCGTGCTAGTGTGTATATGCACAAATCTATGGTAGCAGGATCTTACCTTGAGCAAATCAATCTCTTGCTGCCAAGTTCAAGCATTCAAGTGACCGACAACAGCATTATTCAAAAGGAAAAGAAGCAGATTCAGTCGAGGTAAAAAAAAATGTCGGGAAAATACTAAAAAGAAGAAAAATGAGAAACCATAATAGTGTTTAAGTCCTCCTGAGCAATGTTCGAGAGAGAGACTTGCTTGATTGCAACAAAGTCCCCATTTTGCAAATCCAAACCCTTGTATACTCTTCCATAAGCACCTTTCCCTATCTCATCTCCAAGCATCTATAATTTTTTTTATTTTGGGAAAAATCAACCAAATTAGAGTATACAATTGTGAATAGAGAAACAGAAAAGATAGAGAAAATGTACATACATATTTATTGTCGAGGGTTTTGGAGTTGTGAAAAGCGGAGGTCGTCATTTGGCGAGACATTTTTCTTCATTCCCAGGATGAACAAACCCTAAATTCTGAGCTGATCAGACGTTTAAGCGTCGAGTCCCTGACGCTCCAAGGATCCAAGGAGATGGCCAAGATTTGTACGAAGACGGTTACAAACGCTGCGTCACTCGAGTAAGCTCCCGTTCGGCCCCCTCTTATTTCCATTATATTATAATGGGTGGTATAGTATTTTTTGGAAAATAAATGGTTGATAAATAAGGAAATTTTTTTTATTTATGTATAATATTATTTTATAGAAGATTGTATGAATGAAAATTGGAGAGAGAAAAATGAAATTTAATTTAATGAAGGTCAAACGCTGGCTAAACTTCATTTTACACTGTAAAGATTGTCCAGGTTTGGAATTTTAATGGATTTTAATTTTAAAAATTCTAATGAATTTTGTTAATTTGAATAGATCTCACATAATTTGTTATGCGTATTTTTAGAAAGTGTCCTGAGATTTTGTGGATTTAAAGGATTACAAATTCTTATGAATTTTTTGAATTTGAATAATTAAGTTTCTTCAATTGAAATTTTGATGGATTTCAAAAATTCTTTCTAAGCCCTTGTTTAGCTGCATTATTTTCATAAAAATGCATTTTTGAATAGTGTATTGATGAAAAATGTAAGGTTAAAAAATAAGAAAAAATTTGAATTTGCGTGTAATATTATTTTATTAAAAAATATATGGTTGAAATGATTTAAATCACTATTTAAAAATGTATTTTTTTCCAAATAATGAGACTCAGACAAGACTTAAATTCAAGAATTTCCAATTGAGGTCCTAATGAATTTTGATGAAATTCATTAAAATATAGGTATCTCCAACTAAGACTTTAATGAATTTAATTGAAATCTTTTAAGACCTAGGTACTCTTGATGATTCATGAATTTATAAGAATTTCATTAATAAAATGATTTAAAAAGACTTAGATGGATTTCAATCTTAAAAATACATATAATAAATTTATTTTTTGATGAGATTCTTATGATTTTGTGAAATTTTAAGAGAATTTGTTATATATTTTTAAGTTTGAAATTCATCTACATCCTTAAAAATGTCTATATTAATGAAATCCTTGAGGCGTTGAGAATACTTAATTTTTAAATGATTTCATTTAAATTCATTAAAGCCTCGGGCCCTCGATTAGGGATACACGCGATATTAATAACTATCATTAAATTCTCAATTGGAGACATGTAAAAAAAAAACAAAAAAAAAACATTGAAATTTTGATGGATTTCAAAAATTCTTTCTAAGCCCTTGTTTAGCCACATTATTTTCATAAAAATGCATTTTTTAATAGTGTATTGATGGAAAATGTATGGTTAAAAAATAAGAAAAATTTTGGATTTATATGTAATATTATTTTATTGAAGAATACATGATTGAAATGATGTCAAATCACTGTTTAACAATGTATTTTTTTTTTCCAAATAATGAGACTCAAACAAGACTTAAATTCAAGCATTTCCAATTGAGATCTTAATGAATTTTGATGAAATTCATTAAAATATAGGTAAGATTTTAATGAATTTAATTGAAATCTTTTAAGACCTAGGTAATCTTGATGATTCATGAATTTATAAGAATTTCATTAATAAAATGATTTAAAAAGATTTAGATGGATTTCAATCTTAAAAATACATATAATAAATTCTTTTGCAATTTCATCATTTTTAATGAGATTCTTATGATTTTGTGAATTTTTAAGAGAATTTGTTATATATTTTTAAGTTTGAAATTCATCTACATCTTTAAAAATGTCTCTATTAATGAAATCCTTAAGGCGTTGAAAATACTTAATTTTTAGATGATTTCATTTAAATTCATTAAAGCCTCGATTAGGGATACTCGCGATTTTAATAAATTTCATTAAAATATCAATTGGAGACACGTGACTTTATAATGATTTTTAAAAGTGAAAATTACATGCACCCATGATTTTTATATTTCAACTTTAAAAATCAAGTTTAAGGTTTTTTATAAAAACATCAAGTGATCCCACCCCAACCACCCAAATCATTTTATCTCTCTTCTTCCTTTCATTTTCTCTCCTCTTATCTTTTCCTCTTCCATCTCTTTACTCCCTCCCCCATACATGGACCATCGTCGCTACCAAAGACCACTTTTCGAGTGTGTTGTGACATCATCATTTTTGCGTATCGTTGCTATGCGCAGCTTTGCACAACATCTACGCGACCTCAGATCGTGACTACAACGATGTACTCTTTATTCCGGTGGTGTTGTGGTGATGGTGGCATTAGCAGTAGCGGCGACGATGGTGGTAATGGTGGTGGCTTCCATATTTTGGTGTTATTGGGGGTTTTCGGGTGGTTTTGTTGGTGGTGGTGAATTTAGCTGTGGCGTTGGTGGTCACAAATGATGGTGTTGGTGGCGATGGTATTTGTATTGGTGTTGGTGGTGACAGTGGTGGTGAACTGGGGTGGCATTTGATTTGTGTCGGTGATAGAGTGGATTTGGGTGGGGGGCGAATTGGAATAAATAGTGTCTACGATCAATTATTTAGATTATTGTGATCAATAAAATGGTTACTTTGTGACCAATGAATAATATGTGACACAAAAAATATGAGATTGCGATTAAACTTGTAATCGTGACTTAAAATTTTTAAAGTTGCGACTAATCAAA